AGATGTAGAAGTGAGTGGTTAAAAGTTAAAAAGAGCTGTCAAAAGGGCAGAACTTAAAGGTTGCTTGACATTTAAGTTTCAGTGAGATCATTAGGAATACTCAAGCCAAACTGTCCAATTAGATTTTAAAAATATTTTACTTTACATGAAAGCACAATCTACCTACACATAGGTTAAGAGAGACATATTTACGGATGTGGGAGAGGTTGAGAGCTATATTGGATACTTACCCAACAAATTTAAGATCCTAAGAAGGCAAAATAGAGCAAGAGGATTTTTCCTCTAAATTTTTCAGAACAATGTTAAGCCTAGCATCTCAATAGCAAAGATCAGACTAAATAAACTTAGTCCCTTCCCTTCTCCTCCCACTAATTCTGGCATCTAACTTCCAATTACTTTCAAAACAAACATCAAATACAGGTTTCCCTCGATTTATGTGGGTTCTTTGTATGCGAATTTGCTTTTATGCAATGAGCATAATTAGACCCATAATTCATTATATAAAAGGTAAATTCGCTCTTATGCAATGAGTGTAGATGCCCCTGCCCCCAAGCAGGTAAGTCTGTGGAGGGAGAGAAAAGGGCCGTGGCCCCACTCACCCCAGCCCCAGCTGCTGCGGCCCCAGAAGTGGCTGGTGCTGGCTGCCTGCAGCCACAGAGCTGCACCGTGCTCCGCCTGTTGCCCTGTGCCTGGGCTCACCCCAGCTGCTGGGCTGCACCATGCCATGGTGCAGGCAGCTGGTGTCGGCCGCTTCTAGGGCTGCTCCAGCACAGGCTGGGGTGAATGTGGATGAGCAGAGGCCTGGGCGGCGTGGAGCGCAGCACTCACCCCAGCCCCAGTTGCAGCAGCCCTGGGAGCAACCAACCCCAGCTGCCTGCACCATGGCATGGTGCAGGCAAGCAGCTGGCACCGGCCACTACCAGGGCCGCTGCAGCCAGAACTGGGGGGAGTGTTGCTCTGTTCCCTCTGCTTTGCTGCCTTGTGCAGCTCCAGGTGTGGCACCCCTCCTCCCCTAGTCCCAGCCCCTTCCCTAGTCTCAGCCTGTCTCCCTCCCTCACTCCCATGGGAGCCTATCACTATTTGTTACATTGTAAAGTAGGTTTGCTTTATGCAAATTCAATTTATGCACCTTTCTTCAGAAACACATGTACAGCATAAATTGAGGGAAACCTGTATTTGTATTCCAATACTGTCCTTCTGAGGTACAGGCCTTATTGTGCTTAGCACTAAAAGAAAACTAGTAAAACAGTCCTATGCCTTAAGGAAGTTGCAGGGCAGATCTGTTTCAGAGTTGACGCTGTTTCAGAGATTTGGATTGGCTGGGGAGTGACAGGCACAGCTGGGCGGCTGCAGGTTCTCCTATGGCTCCTCCAGCTGCGCCTGCCTCTGCCCCAGCAGTGAGAGCCACAGGAGAAGCCCCCATCCATGACTGCCTTTCCTAGCCCCATCCCCCACCCAGCACTTTAATAGGAGAGCTGGGCTGTGCAGGACTATTCCCAGGGGCCGCCTCCGAAACATTTCCAAAATATTTCAGATGGTTTTGTTTTGTTTCAGAGATGTTTCCGAGCTTCCATTTTGTTTTGGATTCGGTGTTTCGGGCGCTGAAATGAGCCAAAACACCTCCGGAATGAAGTGGCTGCTGAAATTTCGCACAGCCCTAATGGGCAGTCTAGGGGTTGGGAAAGGAAGCTAACTCAAGGCAGCCTGCTCAAGAGAAGAAAAGACAGACCAGGATCCCCAAATAACAGGTTTGCTGTCCATGGGCAGGTGACCCAAAAGCTAAAATAGCTAAGCTGGCAACTAAGGAAAGGATGACCCAAGGTCACTGAGCGATGTCCTGTGGACACAGGAATAACCCATACCAGGGCAAGAATGCCTGGAGCCAGAAGACAGAACCAATGTTGCTCTGCCTGATTATCTACAAACATCCATGGAGTCCCTGCAGGCCTAGGAAATCTTGGAGCTCAATATGCGGGTGGCCTTAGTCCTTTGAAAGCTTGAAAAGATTCCTGGATAGACCATGAAGTCCCAGGGATGGGAGGTGGTCTCACGTGGGGTTTACAAGGAAAGAGGAGTTGAATGATGTGGAGAGGGAAGGAGTCCTACTCTGAGACCATGACTGATGACCTGATTCCAATCTGTGTGATGCCAGACATGGGGTTACCAGTCCAAGAACATTTCTTTTTACTGACAATCTGCAAATATTTTATGGACAACTAACCTTTTACTGACACATTTTTCTGTGTGTAGTACGTAGACACAAGAGCACTTTAATACCCTCCCCATAGCCCCCACAAGCCAGGGACTTTTTAAAATTCCCAGTATCACTAAATGCAGCAATTCACAGCTTTTCTTGTCATACCTGCATATTTGGAAAACAAAACCCTTCCTCCAGCAGTGACAGCTAAAGCTTCCCTGGGCACAGGACAGTGGGAGCAGGAAAATCCAATGCTGAACCCAGATACAACTTTCTCACCTACCTCAGCTGATAATTGACTTTTTGCCTATGTCCTTCAGAAACCATTCCAGGAACCAGTTGCTCTCCCGCAAATAAACTCTCCCCCTCAGTACAAGGGGTAAGGCAGGAGTGTCTCTTTCTCCAACCCCCGGCAAATCGCTGTACACTCCCCCAACAGGAGGGCTGAGGTGCAAAAGGTCTCCCAACTGCTGCTCCCTTTGCAGGAAATGGGAGAGAGAAGCCTGCTGCTGTGAGCAGCAATTCTTTGCTGCAGCTGCTGCAACAGGTCAGGGAGCAAAGAGCCTGATCCTCCTCTCCCTGCTGCAGCTGTGAACCACAAGGTGGACAGGAGGGAGAAGAGAACTTGAATGCAGTACAGTGACACTCCAAGCCCCGCTCCCTGTGCTCAGGGGACACGCCCTTCCAGCCAGACTCATCCCCAAGCAGGTGAAGAGGAATCCCCTCTCCCACACATACAATATCCAAAGCATTTCCAAAAACACCCAAAGGTCCCAGTAGGCAGCAGTAGGAAAGCAGGGTTGCCACCAACACTCCATACATTTTATGGACAAGTGTTTTAGCCTCTTTTTTTCCTATAAACTTATGGATGGTTGGTAGCTCTGACCAGAGGAAAAGGGTCTCCAGGAAGAGGTGATATCAAGAGCCTGATGGTACCGAGTGGAACACTTGGTGCTGAGAACTATGTCGAACCCAGGGGTCTGCAATGAGGGATATTCATAATCGTCTCTTCTTCTCCTTCTTGGTTGAAATGAACAACGGATACTTGTTCAGGGTGGCTGAGTCACCCTGACAGTAGAGATGTTGGGTATGATGGTCTGATACCAAAATAAGGCCTTCACAAGAGAGGCAGTTATAAAAGATAACAAGCTTTAGGAAGCAACATCATAATTCTTGTGAGGAAACTTTCAGGTTGACAGCAATTACGCAGATCTTAAATGGTAGTGCCTAATGGCACAATAGAAAGAAACAAGGGTGGGGGAAGGGAGAGAGAGGAGGGAAGTACTAAAAGGTGCCAGTCTTCAAACCCAATGGCTGAAAGTGGATCTGTGGTGCCTTTCAAGGTTGGCACTACAAGGAGGAAAGGACAATGAAATAAGGAAAAGCAGCAGTAAATAAGGCGTACCAGGATACTCATGCTGACCAACAGTAATGATCTGTCCTCACCATCAAGTCAAGAGGAAAGGAGAGGGAGAGTGGGGATAAGTGTAAATCTCCACTTACCGCCCCCCAGATGAAGGGGTACCAGGGGTGCGGCTGAAACAATCTAAATATTGCAAATAAAGTTGTGGGCTGAACACACCCCAGTAGAGTGAGAATGTGTATAGGGACAACTGACTTAAAGGAAAGCATGGAAATTTTTACGGTATTCAAACTGTTACTGCCCATGATGGGATCATTATTCAGGAAAATAAAATTAGGCCTTAAATACTCACTTTCCTTTTTATATTGTGAGATACATTCAGTGTTGTCACTTTTGCATTTAGCAAAGGTGGTGTTAATTCCAGAGCTCAGTATCTGGAATCAGCATCTGCATGAAGCCAGTACTGGAATTACATCAATCTTGTTTTCCTGAAGTAAATCTAATAATTAGTTTGAAGTTTATGCAGATGTAATTTCTGCAACTGCCATCCAGAGAAAACCTGTCTCTCTTTGCCAATAATACCTAATTTACATTTCAAATTCTATAACGAAGCATTTTTTGTTGCGTGGTTTTTGTTTCAACAATTCAAGCTCAGCTTGTTTCTCTGAAAAAGCTTCTTTATTATCATTCTATTTTTCTATCAAATAAAGTGAAAGAGCAGAAAAATAAACTTCTAAATTTGAATTCTCAGCCCTCTTTTAACATTGATACATGTTATACATGCATGTCCTATGCTTATCAAATGCAAGAAGTGGGAAACCAATTATGATCGTAAGCTTTTATCTTTGACAAGTGTTTATAACTTCAAAGGATTGCTCTCTAGTTCAAAAAGTAGATATTAGGGGAGTCAACATTTCTAGTTTTTTCATTACAAAGCTTACAGAATCTCAGAATGATCAGAGGTCAGGGAAGCAGACCCTACGATGACAGGCTGAGAGCCCTGGGGCTCTTTAGCCTGAAAAAGCGCAGGCTCAGGGGTGATCTGATGGCCACCTACAAGTTTATCAGGGGTGACCACCAGCATCTGGGGGAACGTTTGTTCACCAGAGAGCCCCAAGGGATGACGAGGTCGAATGGTCACAAACTACTTCAAGATCGTTTCAGGCTGGACATAAGGAAGAACTTCTTTACTGTCCGAGCCCCCAAGGTCTGGAACAGCCTGCCACCGGAGGTGGTTCAAGCGCCTTCACTGAACACCTTCAAGATGAAACTGGATGCTTATCTTGCTGGGATCCTATGACCCCAGCTGACTTCCTGCCCTTTGGGTGGGGGGCTGGACTTGATGATCTTCCGAGGTCCCTTCCAGCCCTGATGTCTATGAAATCTATGAATCAGCAAACAGGTTAAACTGGAAACCAATGTGGAAACACTAAATCGCATTTCAGGGAAAAGTCTTTATTTAGGGTTAACAAGTCGATAATAAATAACAGAATATACTAATGTAATAACAGATGGTCTCATGCACTTAACACATACAATAAAGCTGGCTTACACTGCTGTTTGGACAAACGGAGAGAGGTACTTGGCAATACTATAAATCTGAACAGTTTAAGGATTATAGAACAAATTCTTTCTGCTGTTGATTTTTTACATTTCCTTTATACAACTTTGAATAAATATCAATACATCTATTTATTCTCAGATCCTGTCTTCACTTTTAACATGCCGGATAGCTAAGCCACAGCAATACACAACTGCCAAGAAAAAGCATTTATGAATTATACTGAGTAATATTCCTAGAAATATATCATAATTATACCACTTTTGTGCAAGCTGTTTAGTTAAAGCCAGATTTTAGAAAAAATTGCAGAAAGTTTAAACTCATTTAAACACATTCAGTGCAAAGGCTAATCTTGTCCAAAAATTAGGATACTGTAATGTAAGCCAGTATATTCAAATAATAAAACATGGCCAAATGATTCAAGAAGAAGCAAAGGAATGGTTTTATATATGAAAGATCAATTTGATTCCTAATATGCAGATACTGCAATATTGGACACTTTTCAAATCTTTGAGATGCTAAATAATCTTAGACTGAATAAATGGGCTTTTTAAAGAAACAAATTTACATTAACAGCATTACAACGGCCAAAAAATGACAAACTATTGTAATAAAAATCAATTTGATTAAAAAATTAAATATTCCAATTAACACTGAAAAAAGTGTTTGTAATCATTATTTACAGTTTGTCAATGATACCAGTGTATAACTTCTTGCAGCCAAAGTATAGCGTATACTGCCATTTCCTATACCCTCATTCAAGCATTAGCTAGTGGTATGGTATATAATTTAAACGCATCAGTTTAATGAAGGAGATCGATCTGTAGTCCACAGTAACTCTATATATGGCCACTTGGTTTGCAAACAGCGTTTCACTGGAGTGTCGTCAGTCTGTAGCATTGGCTCTTCAAAGCCCATAATAACTGCTGTTCCTTCTACATACATGACCTGTCAAAATAAATCCAACTAGATCAGTCTATATTATCTAAGAAACCTTTTATGAGTATGCAAACATCCATCCTTCATGAAAGATGTATGTCATAAAATATACCACAACCAAAGGATGCACTTTTATATTTGTTTCTGTTTGTGTATATACACAAATAGTTCATTCTTATTTATAAAAGTGAGAGAGAAGATCCAGTGCCAAAACTTCTGATTAGGGCATATGTAGCACATGATTTGCATGAAGAGACCAAAAAGGCTAGAGCAGAGGGAGAGGCCTGATGAAAACTTGATATAAAAGTTGTGTGACAATAGGTTATTCAGACAATGAACTCAAATTGCCAGTATCTTTCAGGTCAGAAAAAGGATGAAACAAACACAAGCTTAATGTGAAATTCCTTACAGAAAATAAGAGAAAGAAATATTTTGACCAGATTTTCAGGTATGAAACAATATAGTTTTGAAATAGAGATTTTTCTTGGCAACAAGTTTGCATTTAACTCTTACAGCACTAAAATTTGCTCTACAGGTAAGTATTACTATAAATAATAAAAAAATACTGAAACATTTTTCATCCAAATAGAAGAGAAAAAATGGGTAACAAAGTGAGTTAACATAAACACACACATGTCAAGGGCAAGGCAAGTGGTGAAAATTACAGCTGCACAAGAAAAATTTAATGAAGCAAAAGATGAACAAACTAATTCACTATTCATTTCATGCCTTCATGCACCCAGAGCTGGCACTTAAGTCAACAAAAGCTGCAGGTGCACAGCACTTCTGGAAGTCAGGCAACTTGTTCAAGTATCCAGCGTTAGGCAAAACAATGTTCAATGTTTTGTTCTTCAAGTAGCCAAAGTGGCACAAGACAAAGATTTTTTACCGCAGCTTACCTATCCAAAGTCAAAATATTTTCATTTCTCATTAAATGCTAGCTATACCCTGATTCCTTGGAGTTAGAGTTAACTAGATCCTAAAGTCTCTTGAAACAAATTTAATTCTTAAAACTCAATGAAGCAGTAAAGATATCTTTAAACATATCTGAGCCAGCATTTCCTAGAAATAGTTATTTGTTCAGCAAATATGTGAAGGTCAAACATTAAAATAAATACATGTGCATATATTACCTAAAAATTGTTTCTGAGTTACCTTTCCCCACATTTTAGGTTTCACAGGATTTCATTTTAAGGAATGTGTATTCAAATGTATTAAATGATGACTGAACAAATGGTCTCTTCACTTGTAACTGTCTCTGTGATTATTTATTCTCTCACACTACTCAGATAGCTAATACATGCACTAATCCAGGGGGAGTTCAAAGTGGTTAATTCTGCACAACATTTATATAAAAAAAGCAAAAATGGCTTATTTTTCATCTACATTTTCTACAGAGAATTTTGATCTGTGGTAGAAGTTGGAACCAAAAATTTAAATTTGGAAATGCTGATGCTTCACTGGAGTTTATTTGTCTCATGTCTCCATTCTCATGCATAGGAAGTGCTTTGCTCTGAGTACCATGCCAGGAACTACCACCTGATGCACTGTCTCCACTCTCAGGGAGGCAGACCATGCTATAGCACACGAAATGTAGCTCAACCAGGAGTCCCAGACTGTAGAAGAGATAGGAGTATGAAACAATGTTTCCAAATTCAAATATTTGTAAATGGAGGTTTGGGGAAAATCAAAACTGTGTGTAGAAAGCAGACTTAGCTAAAAAAAAGTTTGTGAGTACAAATATTTTACTCACCTTAGCAGAAACTACTGCTAAATGTTTAGTAGTTTTATATAGGAATATAAGGAATGGAATTTCACAAACTCCTTTTCTAGAGGATGTTGAACTGCTATCATATGGTGAAAACTATTGGTTTCTTCCTGACCTAGGGTATTTTTTTTCTCAAATCATACCTTTTCATTATAATTAGATTGCTTCAATCCATTGTAGTGATAAACAGTGAATGACTCTGGAACCCTGGAGTCCTAGTATAAATAAAACAGTTAATTTCATATAATAAAATCACTGTATCCTGCCAACTTTTTCTCATCATGAATACAAGTTGCAGTTGGTGGGACAAGGAGGTAATAAAAATAATCAGATACAAGATCCTAAAGATTTTCTAGGCTTGGATTCTCCAACCAGGACAAAACAAAATACCCTGATGATCAGTCCAATTATATTGTAACTGAACAGACAAACCAGTATTTTCAAGAGTAACTAATTACATTCACTGCCCAACTGGAAATAGCATGATTCTTCAGTACCGAGCACAGATAGTCTGATAATTCATTTAATCTTTCTATTACCCACTGCATCATCTAATTATGATGTTTTCAGTCGTTACAATCTTTGGCAGGGTGGCACCAACGTTTCCCAAATCACCTGTAGTATATCACATTGCAGCACTGCTTTGGTACAGCCATTTGACTGTGCATATTACATCTTTAAGGGACATTGCCAAGTATATTTTAAAAATGTCTTAAGCATTTCACTTTTCACTTCAAATCCTGAAAATAATTTTCCATAACTTTCACACATGCAGGCTTTCCTGTATTTCCTGCATGATGTCACTATTTGTTTAAAAGTCATAACTTCCATTTATGTAATACAGATATCATAATCTGCTTGTATCCTAACATCATTTATGTCACCAAAAGTTTGGGAATAGTATTTGCTAGCTGCTGTAGATCTTTATGATAATGCTACAAAGCTCCATGGGCGTTACACTCTCACAAGAGACTAAAATCAAATTCAAACTAATAATTTTCAGGTGATTTCTCACTTCTGGGGAACCAAAAGAAAAATATCAAGGTCTCCCAAATCAAAGAGCCCACAGTACTCGTGTGGTTAAGGCAAGCTGTTTCTGTAGCCAGTCTCTCACAAAAGACTGGCGTGCTTTAGCCCTCATATCCAATCACCTCTGATGTACTGCAGGGTTTTGGTGGGGTTGGCTGGGGGTAGCCTCCAGCACAAACCCAGACCAGTTTTATGCTTTTGGAGCTGTAGCAAGATGCCTTATCATCTGCTCTGCCCTCATGCCTGTATACTTCTAGGTAACAGACAAAATGAAATTTATATTTAAGATACTTGACAGTGTGCCTTTAACTGAACTTTAAACCTGCAACTTCAAGGGAGTTTCCTTTTAGTGGAAAGCCTAAAAAACATAGGAAGGTTTTTATAATGTAAAATTTTTGTAATGTTGGTTTCTAAAGGAAATCTATTCAACTACATAGTGCAAACAGTTACCTGCTGACCAGAAGTGTCAAATAAATGCAGTATTTATTAAAAATACTTCTGCAAAAAGGTTTTGCACATTAGATAAATAAAAATGTTTAATGCATCACACCAAAAGATGCTGTTAAGCAAAATACACAATGTTTCATGCTATAACATAGAAGATAATGACTATGTTACCTGCTCAGGGAAAAATTCTTGCAGAAAGGGACCCAATAATATAATTCCTAGTCCTTCTGGGTCTAACTTGGTCTTCATAATGTTTACACTAAGACAAAAAGAAAAGTGTAAGTAGTGCATTTTTATTTTTTCATGGCTCAGTTATGCAATTATACAATACCTTTGTCTGCCAAATATACTGATGCTGTTCTATCTATAATGGTAAATGACAAATGGACCAGAAAAGCAACTTATTTCCCAAAAATGCAGCTATTTTGAAAATCAAAATAATCTGTTATTTAAAACGGAGGTAGCAATGATAATTTTGCGAGATCACCTTATTAGGAAAAGTCATTTAAAAACCAGTCTAGATTCTAACTTAATAGTTTAGAAGACATCTTAAAACCAACTGCTAGCTTGAAATTGAATACACAAACCATCTTCTAAATACAACTGTGCAAGAATTAACAAACCTGTTTTTAAACAAAGATCTAAAAAGTTCTCAATTAATTCACTTGAGATTGATAAATTTAATTCAGGCTTATCAAAGTCCCCAGTTTATCACTGCATATTTACGTAGTGCCATTTATACTAGAGAAGTCAAAAGCATTTACATTTATTTTAGTATTACACAGAGAGATTGAGAATGTACAGCAAGTAGTTTGAAAGTTTTATTGGCACAAGCATGGGATATTTGCAGGTCACATTAAATGACTGTCAATAAAACATTCAAGCTTGTATTTCTGCAGACCCTATTCTATAAAGTCTAAAAATATATTCATATTTCTTCCTTATCCCTCTGCCTAGTATGATGAGTACCATCTGGTACTCTTAAGTTCTACAATACTGGCCTTTGAATGAAAGGTTTTTGAATTCACAAAATGGTAATTAACTAGCCCTCCTGTAAATCATGCTGGATTTTAACATTTGAAATAAGAAATACTCAGCACTTCACGGAACCAGCACAGACTGTCTGTAAGATATAGGACTTTAAACCCGTTGTTGGTTCTGAATGGAATATTACCCTTTCTGTTACAAGTCTGGAAGTACTTCTACCCCCCTCCCCGCCCAAAGGCAGCTGTCTGAAAACTGCCCAAGAGTTTTGTATTGTTTGAAAGATGACTTGAAAGAAGAACATAGGTGGGGCAGATTTAGGTTTATACAAGCCTTTCAAATACTCTTAATTCACATAAGAACATATATGAATCCTTTCACTTGCTAATGAAATACAGCAACTGTTTAAAAACTTAGACATATTAAGGGTTTAAGCCTAGAAACTTAATATAAATGAAAGCTAGACAAACTTTAAACAATTTGAAGACATCTCTAATTTTACTAAGAGTGCCATAGAACTTTAGTAACCAGAAATGAGTAAGTTACTAATAAAAGACAATGCCCCTAACAACAATGCCTTCACATACATTGTAGGAATAGATTCACAACTAAAACAGAATTATTCCACCTAGTGAATATGCTTTTGCTCCACAAAAATCTTTCCTTGGCATCTTCTCACATATTGAGGCCTGAAAGGACTTCATTCTTTTGAGATTTGAGATGCTCAAAACCTAAGTGGGAAACTACAGGACCTGACATATTATATGTAATGCTATATAAAGATATGCAAAGATACAATATACTTGGAAGTAATGCAGGTATATCCAAAATTTTCTTAAAATTTTAAATGGAAACAGAACAACCACTTACATGGAATATAAGAATCTGAGTCCTGTTTACATTATTACAGCTCCTGTTCTATACTTTATTAATGGGACATGTAACCACAGGTCATGTGTGCAGACACACAATACATATACCCTGAAGTAATTTAACCTGTATTTTATTCTGCAATAAAATCACACTTCTATGCTGAATGGACATAAAATCAACTATCCAGGGTAACTTTACCTAGTTGACTTTGTAGTAAAGCTCAAGTCTACAAGGAGGTTTGTAGCTTAATCAGGATTAAGTAAAAAATTACTAAAACCCAAGCATCTACTTGAAAGGAAGCTGAATACAGAAAGAGGAATTTTCCTTTTAGAAATGGAAATTATAAAAAAGTTTCCCAAACTTCCTAAGTTAGGTTCTTTCCTTAACACTAAAATTTTCACTATTTTAAGGACTGAACTGGGTGCCTACATTTGCCTCTTAGGCATTTCCTTTATTGTTTGTTCCCATAATTCACATCACCATATTCCTATCACTTCCATGGCCTCTCCTCCAGGTTCATAAAGAAGAACAAAATAAAGGTCAGTTTTACTATCTGGGATGTGCAAGTTTGAAAGGAAAGAGACTGCTCCATTCAGGTATCAAAGATGGCTTTCGTTCTCGGAAGAGTACTCAACTGCCTTATAACACAAATGCTTTAGACTAAGACAAACTGCAACTTGGTCTAATGGCTGAACACAACTAAAGTCTTGGAGATGCAAAAGAAGTTCGAACTCAAATTTTTCCCCTTCTGGGCTAAGTATACAAGAAAAAAAATGTAGCAAAAATGCAGACCTTAATACTAAAAATAAATGTGCTTACCAAGCATTTGGGAAACATGCTGTTAATACAAGTCTAAACAAGAGTTATATGTTCTGCTCCAAAAGTAAAGAGTTTTATCAAAATAATCACTATTAGAGCTAGAACATATGTAGTATTGATGGATAAATGCAAAGGGTAAGCGCATCAAAATCAATCTGAAACAGTTTTAAGTTCAAATGCTACAGATGTGTGACATTGTAGTAGGCTCCCTTGAAAGTCCTGGTTTCCTCCAGCACAGATTCATCTTGTTACGTTAGGTGGTCATAAGCAAATATGTACACATGAAGAAAAACATGTCACAAGCAGTTAATAAATAGAAGCTGAGACAAGATCCTTTTCTAAATTAAAGACAAGATTTAAAAACTCTCTAGGTTGTTAATACAAATAACTCTCACATTCTGAGACATTACACTAATTTGTTTTATTAACAATATTATCAAAATATAACCAAACCATTTACTAGTGCATTGATAAAGAAGGAATTTAACTACACGACTTATACTTACTACTCAGGATCTGATACAAGATCTAAAGCCTTCATTACATCCTCTAGAAGTGTGTCAGATATAAATCCATTATCTGTGAGACACAAATGTTTTCACTGGGGGAAAAATAATATATTCCACAAGCACAAATCCACTCAAAATGATGGCAATTAAATGTACAGCTTAAAACATTACAGCCAGATGTAAAGTTGAAAGACAAGGTGCTAAAAATGCACAATTTCCATACACATTTCTCATCATGACAAAAATTCATAATTTACAGAAATTAAAAGAATGAAGTACCATCTTTCTACCTAATAGAAATATGAAATGGTTATAAATATGAAGGCAGTTTTATTAATAAGTATGTACCACTTGAAAGCACAGAAAAATAGTACTAAGCTTTATTTCTTATAAAAATGACACCTGAATGTCATGCTGCTTCCAGTTTCCAAATAAAACTGGTGAATTTTCCAGCACTTTTCATATAAACAAGTGGAATCAGGTGTGACTGCACTGATTAGGCAAGTTATTCTTCAAAAGTGTAAAATTAGGGTGAGTCACTGGCCAAAGAGACTCTCTTACAGCTTAAGAATTCTATTTTGTATTGTGTATTGCTCTACTTGGCTGTACTAATCAAAAGGTTTATTCAGCCTTTTAAGCTGATAAACAGCAGCACTCATAGCTCCTTGATTTGCTGGTTAATCAGTAAATACTACACTCCTCCAAGTCTGTACTGAGCCTAATGATAAGCAGGATGCATTAAAATGCAGGAGACTGTGCTATTAGAGGTGAAATATTCTAGATGTATGATACAACCATTGTCCTATTTCTTTAAGGGATTCTTTATACATAGAACAGTCAAAATCAGGATAAGTCTGTAAAATAATTTAGTGAACCCATTTCAATTCAAAATCTCAGTCCAGCAATCAATGCAAGCCTTACCTTCAGGATCGTATGTTTGAAAAACTCTTCTGGCTTGTTCTGAAGGAGCTTCAGGTGCAACAAGGGCCATATCCTTAAAAAATTAAAAGAAAAAGAACATTCTATGATA